TGTGTGTCTTCTACCCCCTGTTTCTGTTCCCTTCTCTTGCCACCAACTTTACTGTCTTATTACGTTTTGACCCAGATGTTAGCATAGCAGTTCTTCTCCAGCAGCCCTCTGTTTGGTTAGAGCTGCTTTTCGCTCTGCTCCTCAGGCACTCCTTTCGACAACCGCCATGCTGCTATGGGACATTGCAGGGCTCCCTTCTCTCTCTGCTGCTGGACTTTGTGCTCCGGGAAGACCAGCGCCCTCTTCCATCATTGTGTATGCCTATCCTGTTCTCCCCACACCACACCCAGGTCTTCCTTGTTGAGTCGTCATTTTTCCACCTCTGCCCGTTCCCTTGTAGCTTGACTGCGAGGCCTTTGGTAGTTGGTTCATCGGAAAGTTGTGTTGTCCGTCCCCAGAGGTTAACGGTGTTGTTGTCCGCCCCTAGGTTAGGCCCCACCCAGCTGAAGATCTTCACCTGTGAATACTGCAACAAGGTCTTCAAGTTCAAGCACTCGCTGCAGGCCCACCTGAGGATCCACACCAACGAGAAGCCGTACAAGTGCCCCGAGTGCAGCTACGCCAGCGCCATCAAGGCCAACCTTAACGTGCACCTGCGGAAGCACACGGGCGAGAAGTTCTCCTGTGACTACTGCTCCTTCACCTGCCTCAGCAAGGGCCACCTCAGGGTGCACGTTGAGAGGGTGCACAAGAAGATTAAGCAACACTGCCGCTTCTGCAAGAAAAAGTACTCTGACGTCAAGAACCTCATCAAACACACCCGGGACGCGCATGACCCCCAGGACAGGAAGGTCAAGGAGGCTTTGGATGAGCTCCGCCTGATGACCAGGGAGGGCAAGCGGCAGCTGCTCTACGACTGCCACACCTGTGAGCGCAAGTTCAAGAACGAGCTAGACCGGGACCGCCACATGCTGGTCCACGGCGACAAGTGGCCCTTCGCTTGCGAGCTCTGTGGCCATGGGGCCACCAAGTACCAGGCCTTGGAGCTGCACGTCAGGAAGCACCCCTTTGTTTACGTCTGTGCCATATGTCTCAAGAAGTTCGTCAGCTCCATCAGGCTGCGCTCGCACATCCGAGAGGTGCACGGGGCAGCCCAGGAGACCCTGGTCTTCACCAGCTCCATAAACCAGAGTTTCTGCCTCCTGGAGCCTGGTGGGGACATCCAGCAGGAAGCCTTGGGGGACCAGCTGCAGCTGGCAGCTGAGGAATTTGTGTGTCCGGAAGTGGATGTGCTCAAGGAGGGTCCCGGGGAAGCTCAGCCTGAGGTGGCTCCGAGGGAGCTGGAGGCCCCGGGAGAAGCAACCACCTCGCCCGTGCCCTTGGCCACCTCCCAGACTGAAAGTGCTTCCCTTTCCCCCTGCAAAGTAGGAACCACTGTCGTCGCGTCTGACCTCAACCCTCTTGGAGTGGTTTCGGATGACTTTTTACTGAAAAACGGTACCTCCCCAGCCGAGTCCCATGCTGTAGCCGAGCCAGCCTTGGATACACAGCATGGAGGCTCAGCCCAGACTCAGGGTGAAGAAGTCACACTGCTGCTGGCCAAGGACCAAAGTGCCAGACCAGGCCCAGAGAACCAAAGTGGCCAGAGCCCTCCAGGTGGAGGGCAGAATGCGATCGCTCTGCCAGCCAGTGAATCTGACTCTAACAGGTGTCTCAGGTCAAACCCAGAGGAGGCCTCAGACCTCCTTCCCGCAGTGGCTGAAGGAGGGGAACCTGGAGTGTGCCAGGCCGACCCTTCGAAACCCCCATCCGAGCACCACCCTGGCAGCACAGCGTTCATGAAGGTCCTAGACAGTCTCCAGAAGAAGCAGATGAACACCAGTCTGTGCGAGAGGATCCGGAAGGTTTATGGAGACCTGGAGTGTGAATACTGTGGTAAGGAAAGGGCTGTGCTGGTCACACGAGCCTTTGAGCAGAGCTTTCCTTCCCAGCAGCCCTGTCCGTTCCTATCATGCTGTCATCACCTTGGGTTCCATTTGAGCTCGTGTCTGTTTGCAAAGGACACCACCTAAATGAGCCACCCTCCTCTGTGCTAGATAGGAGCAGTGAGCCCAATCATCAGTCACAGTTGGAGCCTTCCCGGGATCAGCTGGGATGATGCGTAGCTGACCACGGTGGGGGTCATGCTGAGGGCCGCTCACCGTCTACCATCTTCTGACCAAGAAGGATCCTTCTTCTGGTGTTCAGTTGTGGCTTTGTCAGTCGGGTAGAGAGGGTAGGGGACTGGCTGCCGCTCTGCGCTCTGGGTAGGGAGGCCCAAGCCGCTCCCTTCTGAGCCTGTGGTGAGAGCTAGGCGTGTGGTGGGAGCTCCCAGGCAGCAGTCAGGAGAGGAAGTGGGCAGACCAGAGCCTGTCTCATAGCCCAGGATGTCAGGAGGACTCGGAGGCCCTTGGATTTGTGCATTTGCAGGGTGATGTTTGACATAATTAGCTCTCGATAAACATTTCCTTTCTCTTTTCCTAGCCCTAACACCATGTGAAAAGATGGTGGTACCTTAATACTTGAAAACTGCCATTTTTGAAAAGTAGTTTCCTGACAGAAGTGTGGTGGAAAGTGTGAAGGGGCATACCAGATAAAGGAGATAAATATGGTAGTTAAAAAAATAATGATTATTTTTTTAAAAAAAAAAA